TATATATATATATATAAAATTCTATGTCTAGGTTGTGTATAGATATCAATATTAATTAATTTGGGGGCGTGACAATTGGAATTGTGGAAGGATGGTGATGCGGGCTGCCAAGTGGATCAAATGAAAAGAAAAACAAATGAGTTTGTCGTCTTTAAATTTACCAATTAGTTTTTTTTGTTCCAAATGTGTTATTTGAATTAGTTAAGAGTTTATGTTATGTTTAGATAAAATTTTCATATTTTAAATTTAGATTTATAAATGTTGTAGTTATTTGTTTAATAACTTTTTTTATAGTTCTGCACTTAAAATAAAGAAAAATGAGTTTTTCATAACGTTCCGGAGTTTATAGGAAATTGGAGTGTTACAAATTGTAGCCGATCCCCTCCCCCAAAATAAAATATAATTAAATAAATGTGTGTGCGCGCTTTATGCAGTTTAAGAAATACCTATGGTAGTCCCCACATGTCCATAGATTGAGCATGACCAGCAACAATGACAGAGTTGAAATGAGTACCCCACAAATGATATCTCCTACATGATGGAAGATCCTATTTAGAAGTAACTAATATGCAAAGACAACTTATTTTGGTGCTTGTGAAATCTCTTCAATTATGAATCTTAAATAAAAAGGGCAACAAAAGGAAAATACTTGCTAAGTTCCATAATACGTAAGCATATTTATCATTTTTATACGTAACAAACAAATAAATAACTATTTCTTTGAAAAAGATTATAGTTTGTGAAAGGAGAATATAGCAGGACATAGCAAAAAAAATCTTGAAAAAGATGATAAATGATGTGAACCGGGTTAGCAAGGTTGCTATCGAACCCACAGGAATTGACATCGGATCCCAAGAACACCCAAATATGACCAAGGTTTAAGACTTAACTTGTGAACGATGAACCAAACAACCGAAGGTATATTAAACCAACAACCCTTGATCACAAATTGTGGAATTGAACCAATAAAACTATGAACAAAAAAACCCAGCAAAAACGATGCTTGAAAGACCCTTTGATTAAATAACCCAAAGATCCAACCCGATATTTTTGAACGCCACAAGAAATCACTTTCTTGATAAGTTCGATTTGCCCATTGACGAATAAGATAATTGAAGCGAAAATCTTCGAGAGAATTTTATTCAATAATTCATATGAAAAGTCTTGTGTATTACAATGAGAAAATAAACCTATTTATACTAAAAACCTAGCAAGTAGTTTGAAAAGGAATAAAACTTTCAAAATATAAAAGTTACCAAAAATAAGAATTCTATACAAAATAAAACTCCTAAGAATATAGAAATTACCAAAAATAAAGAATTCTAACCAAAACTAACAACTAGTGAATTTTGGAAACTTTCCCCTGCCGAAATTGAAGTTGCGGATCATATCAGTCCCTCCCTCTTCGAAAGGATTCAACCTTGAATCCAAACCTTGAATGTTCAAATTATAGCCTTTATCTCCAATCACGCAAGAACATGAAATGGTCCATCTCCCCTCGGATGCAATTTGGACTGCTTTTGAATTCAAACCCTTCTTTTTCATATGTAAATCCAATCTCCTTTACATGGATCAAAATGTGTATGTTTTGACGGCTTCCTCTTGCCATTTTGTGATGTTCTTAGAATGATTTCAGCTGATAAATCACCGTTCATTTTTCATGCTTTACTCGACCCTGGTGATTGTAGTAATGACAATTCAAATTGATACATATTTCCCGACATACCAATTTTGTAGTTCAATCCACTGCATATGAACTCCTTGCAAACAAATTTCTTCCATCGCATTTGAAACTCCGTTGTCTCCTCGGGAATCACAAATTCAATCTCCGATATATATGATATCTCCCAAGCAAGATGCGGTTGTTGCTGAAGTTTATCCACCAATTGATGTTCGATGCTCGGATTGTAAGGGATTTCAATAGGATTATTTTCTGAAATTAAATCTTCGATGACCTGCAAAATAGCATTATTCAAAATAAGGAGGGAAATGTTAGTGTTCGCCAACTCCTCCTCAATATTAACCTCATCTTTATGCAAGCTCACTTCCGATTCCCCTTTCACCTCCAACGACTCCCCTTTCTTTTCAAGTTCACTCTCGACTTCCTTTTCACTCTTTTGTGGCTCTTCTCCATTTTTCTCACAATCAATCACCTCGCAAATTTTACTTTTACTCTCTTGCGCCTTCATGTGATTAATTTGAGATTTAACCTTGTCACGAAGCCCTGTTACTTCTAATTTGAAATCCCGACTCACCAACTCACTTGATTTACTACACACATGCTTCGCACTAGGTGTTTTCTTTTCCCTTGGACACTCAACCCCATAAGATCTTCTATGCATCTCCCTAAATTCTTGCTCACCTCTTAATCACCCTCAACTCATCCCAATTCTCAATCAGCCTCTCACCATACCTTCGCCTAGATGTTGTCAATTAATCCCACCAAATTGTAGCATAATCCACAAATGAGTTCACAACCAACTTCAACTTTTTCTCCCCGGAGTAATTATGGCACTCAAACATCAACTCAACTTTTTCTTCCCACACCACTACACCTTGGGACCACTCATACCCTTAAATTTTGGGATTGTTGTTTTCATACTCCTATCACCACCATATCCATAATAATTCGTATCCCTTCTTCCAAACCTATCGCCTCTATTTTTCATACCCCATATTGCATCCTCAATCCACGCATCTTCATCACTATCGCTACAATATTCATATGCACCACAAATTTCATTCATAGGCTCCCATCTATTCCTTCTCCGTACATTAGACACTCCAACACATTGATCTTCATGAATATTTTTCACTTTCATATCCAGACTGTCTAACTTATTTCCCACATTCTCCATACCCACCAACAACCTTTCAAATCACTGCATCATCCTTTCTAACATTTGGAATTGACTTTGACACAAATTTGACGTTTTCTTTTTAAACTTTCTTTTTTCTGACTCTTTTTTTTCTAACTCTTTTTTTTTTTTTTTTTTACTTTTTTACTCAAATTTTTTTCCCGGTACGGCATGGACATGAACAGTAAAAAAAAATTTTTTTAAAAACTTGATGACGAAAAACAAAAACACTAATGACACAAAGAAAATGCAGAAAACAAAAGAACTCAACAAAAATAAAATAAAAACTGGATATAACCTTGATCTTAGTGTCTTAGCTCTGATACCAAATGATGCGAACCCAGTTAGCAAGGTTGCTATCGAACCCACAGGAATTGACACCGGATCCCAAGAACGCCCAAATACGACCAAGGTTTAAGACTTAACTTTTGAACGATGAACCAAGCAACCGAAGGTATATTAAGCCAACGACCCTTGATCACAAAGTCTAGAAATTTCACTCGGATTGTGGACTTGAACCAATAAAATTATGAACCAAAAAACCCAGCAAGAACGATGATTGAAAGACCCCTTGATTACATAACCCAAAGATCCAACCCGATGTTTTTTAACGCCACAAGAAATAACTTTCTTGATAAGTTCGATTTTCCCATTGAAGAACAAGATAATTGAAGCAAAAAGCTTCAAGAGAATTTTATTCAATAATTCATATGAAAAGTCTTGTGTATTACAATGAAAATATAAACTTATTTATACTAAAAACCTAGCAAGTAGTTTGAAAATGAATACAACTTTAAAAATATAAATTTACCAAAATTAAAAATTCTAGACAAAATAAAACTCATAAGAATATAGAAATTACCAAAAATAAAGAATTCTAACCAAAACGAACAACTTGTGAATTTTGGAAACTTTCCTTGCTGGAATTGATTGCGGATCATATCAATAAAACTTTGAAAAGTGGTGGCCTTCAATATTTTAGTTTTGAAGTCCTTTGAGTAGATAAATTCAAATTTAAAGGAACCAAAAATGGAAAACTGTGCAAAAGAAAAAATGCTAAAATTTTTACTAGAGTAATCTGGTTAAGTAATAATACAAATTACAAACTTATTTTCAAACATGTTACAAGCTTTTGTATGGCAACAAAACATGATTACCCGTCGATATTTCTCACGAGTTCGCTCGTTCGAGATTTATCTTGTATTAATTTACTATTCATCTATTTTGTTATTTTTTGGAACAAATAGCTGCTTCGACTAATGAACAAAAGTTTTGTTTTTTTTTTTTTTTTTTTTTTTTTTTTTAGTTTCTTACTACGCAATTGTTAGCAAATGAAATATCACAAAACCGCAAGAAGCCATCATCATAACCCGGAAAAATATATGTATATTTAATAGAAGCTAAAGCAATGAAACTCAAAATTACATCTCAATCACTACATAAATAACCAAAAGAAAAAAGTCAATCCAAATTTAGGAAACAAAGACAAATATCAGTGCAAAAAAAGAAAAAATAAAACACTAACCTTGGTTTATTAGAAGAAGTTTTTCTTGTTCTTCCTCGACCAAACAACTTTCGTATGGTACAGCTACATCCTCGTATCTAAAACCACCACAAATATTAAACCAAACAAACTTGAAGCTCCAAAAACCACCTAATCCGACACTTTCATAGTATACATGTATTTGAAGAGATGCTCAAATTCCTCGAAACAAAAATAACAAAATGGTAAAAATGAGTAAAAGAATAAAACAAAAAAAAAATAGCAACCCGCTCCCACCAAAAATAGGTCATAGTAAAGCCAAAAGTTTTTAGGAATGCAAAGAGTTAATGAACAGAATGACAAATGAGGGCATGAAGAAAAGTAATATTCCTAAATTTGATTATACTGAAAACTAATCTCATATCATGACCTTAACTAATCTCATGGCACTAAAAAAATCCAAAAATGAAGAATTTCCAAAAACAAAGAATTAAACAAAAAAAATTAAATCATCCAAACACCATAATGCATTCACGAAAATATTCTACACATTCATGAGACCCACTTAATACCAACATCCTGGAGTCAACAAATTCAAGCAAAAGAAGAAACCCATTTACCTATGAGGCCGAGATCGTACAATAATGATGAGATTTCTTTATCTTTACTTGAAATAGTAGCAGTGGATATAGTGCAGCGGTTGTAAATCGACGTCATGCAAGAATTGGTAAATGATAGTGGTAGGCCGATGGCATTGTTTAGGTGGCACAGCGACGAAGACGGCGGCAGATTTTTGGAAAGGAAAGGGAAGATTTTAGATGGAAAATTCAAGGGTTTACTTTCTTTCATTTCGTTTGTTGTAATGGAGAAGAAAGATAACAGGGGTGTGTAATAAGAAAGAAAAGCAATAAAGGGTGAGAACATATTTTGTCACAGTAACTAAACCCATTCGTGAACAGTGAAAACCAGAAAAAAGTGTGAAATGGATGGTGCACAGATGAATAGTGTTTGACCCATCCAATCTTTTAAGATAGTATATGAGTACTAGTTTTTTTACCCGTGCATTGTGTTACATTGGAGGTAATATTAGCGTTTTGAACGTTAAGGTTAGACGGTAAATTATATGACAAAATTTCCTCACACATTTTTGTATGAATGAAATAAGGTTTCATAGAGATATTATGGTCAATCCAAAATTTGAACGAAGGAAGCAATAAATATCATGTGGAAAATACCTCTTAAGAAAAGTTCAAATTTACAAGAGTAAAAAAATACATTTACAGCTTGGAATATAGCTATTTAAGAATTTCGTCGAGTTTCTTTTTTCCTGAACTGATATATAACTAAACAAAAACCGCCTACATTTGAAATACAAACATATAAGCAAGTTGCAATATTTGGGAAGAGAGAAAATCAACCGAACCAAATATTGGTAGCACTTTACCGTATAATGGCTACAATATCAGACTTGACAGGGGAGCCACGTGACATCCATATCAAGTATTATGGTTGGAATTTTGGATACCATTAGTATAGATGGAGTTTGTCCATTGGCCAAGACAAAATTTAAGCCACCAACCTGCAAAAGCACAAAAATCCAAGGAACAAAATATATAAGTACACACTTTGAAAATTCTCAAGGCAAAATCTCATAATATTTAACAAAAATTACAATTTTATTAAGCAGAATATTAGTCGAATACTGATCATTAATGGGTGGTAGTCGAATAAATAAGAAGCATTGAGATAAGAAAATAAAGACTCAATTATTGGCATATTGTGCCTCATCTCTTCCACGATAAGAAGACCTTCTAACGCGACCTCAAGGTGACAAACTTCGACGTCAAGGAGAACGGTCGCAAGGACTCAAAACTCCTGATTCAATTAACGTCATTCAAACATTGAGTTAAAAATAACAGTCAAAGTTCTTTATTCTTTCCCAAAAACGAAAAACCTAGCAACTCAATATATATTACCTTCGTAGCAAGGGCTCCTGCAATATCTAGGAGAAGTATGATTCTTATGCTTTCGAGAACCTCCATGGGTCATGCACTTATGGACAAAATGGTCATTCTCACCAGACTCGTAGCATTTTAAATCAAAACCAGAACGATTGTACCCCCTACCACCACCACAGTCACTGTCGCCGCCATTACCACCAGTCCATCGTCGTGACGACTTCCATCCCTAGAATTGTGAGAAGGCTTTATTCTCTAGCCATTTTTACCTATTTCAATTTACAAGGATATGATTTCTAGCATATTACATAAGAAATTTAACGTCAGAATGTTGATTGAAGAAAATACAGCATGATAAAGATAACAGGTAAAAAAATCCAGCACATAAAAAAATTAACATTTCAATATTGAATAAACATGAGATCTAATAGAAATTGTTTTTTCTCTAACACTCACCAGACCACTTTACTGGAAACCCTCTCATGTACTTTGGAGAACATGGATGCAATGCAAATGTCGGCATTATGAAGGTTTACTTGTGAAGATTCATGTTGAAAGACCAATAATAATATATATTATTTAAATGCATGCAATTTTATCACTATTAGGATCTTTCTAATAGGATGATGGTCAATTTTCTACACCATAGCTAAGGCTAGGTCCCATTGTGTACTTGTAAAAATGTGAAACAACTAAATGTCTTCTAATTGAAATTCTAGAAGTAAAATACAGTAGAATATATACAAATTATCGTAATATTGAACCCACTAAATTTAGAGGAATCTTCTAAAATCTAGACACATCAATCTTCCAGACCTTTTGTAAGGAACAAAAGTCTTAATTGGCACAAGCTTATAACTATACAAGCTTATAACCATACATAAATCTCACCTGATGAAAAAATCATATAGCATTTTTCATCATGATTGTAAGGCTTTTCTTCTTTGACAAGTAATCGATGATATTTAGCATTGTGTATTTGCAACAATTAAAATTTTCAATTCATGAGATACAAGAATGAAATTTTTTTTTTAAATTGGAGTTAAAGTTTAATAGTATAAAATATTTGCACTTATGCATATAAAAGAAGAGGACGGTGACAATGAGATAGGATGGGAAAATTCTCTCTCTCTACATGCCATCAGAACATTTGTCTCAATCACCTGTTCCGTCATTAGCAATTGTCATTGGCAACAGGAATCCCATTAAAGCTAAGGACAATATTTTAAGTAAACTAAACAACAAAAAACCGTTTAAAATTGTTCAATTTATATCATAAACTTAGCTTAGGGGATAGAATAAGTTTCGAATCAAATAATAAGAATCTTAAAATATTTATGAGGTCGTCAATGAAAATATAAGAAACGACTATTGCAAGGCAATAAAGAATCTAAGATAAAATACATTGTGCAAAATACAAACACTTAACAATCATAATTAATCAATTTCATGCATAAGGATATTGTGAACAAGAAGAAAGCATAAACAATTTTCACTTTACCGATGTCTCAATTAGCCTAGGATCAAAAGTTGGATGAAGAGATGTCTCTAGAGTAATAGCTCGAAAGCTAAAATGTGCGGGAGGAGAAGCTATAACAGGTGCAATAATAGTAGAGGGTTGATTACTGTAAAAAAAAATAAAAAAAATAATAATAATAATAACAACAACAACAACAACAATTTCAACAATTTACTATTTGGAACATTAGGTCAATTAAAAATTGTCAAAACATGATGAACACACCCAGTTACCATTTATTTCAGTTTGATAGTAGCAGCATGTGGCACCATAGTTGTAGTTGATTAACTAAATAAGACATTTCATAGAATCAGACAATGTCTCTATTTATCTCTTTTAGGATAAGTGTTCTAGTTGTTACACAGAGTATTGATTTGCTAGCTTTTATGTAAAATGGGCAATGTACTTTACCTTATAATGAAAGTAATTCAATAAGTGAAGAGTACATTTAAAGGCAAAATTTTATGATCTAAAAAGAAGGTATAAATTTAAAGGGAAATATTTTTTTTTTTTAAGGAATAAGCTGATAAGAATTATCAGACAGTAAAAAAATTTATTTTTTAGCAAGATGTGAAGCGAAAAGATCCCTAATCTCGTACTACTTCTATAGAAATACGTAAAAATTCAATTTGTGTATTCAAAAAGAAAACAATAAAATATTATAGAACTCATCACATTGATAAAAAATATTTCCAAAACTATACTTCACTGACCTTATAAGGTTGTATTTTAACCCTTTTTTCATATTTCTTCTGCTCATCTGTAACTTACTCCATGTTAGTTTGCTAAGTTGTTCAATGTAATCTATCGCATGAATTCAGAAGGTCCTCGAATTATGTACAACCAAGTTATTCTGCATTAATATAGAGGAAACAAATTTAAAAAGCAGATATATGATAATCCATTTTTGTTCTATTGAATTTAATCTCAGATTAGATATGCTAAAGATTAAAAAGTACTTACGAAAATGTTGTAGATCTATGGATGTATGAATGAAAGGATTTCCTTGTAAACAACATTTTTAGTACATGTATTGTGTAAATTGTCAATATTTGATGGTTTAAGCAAAACTTTAATAGACGTGCTTGTTTTAGCTCTTGATAATGCTACGTAAAGCTGACCATGACCAAAAACAGGTTCTGAAAGATACAAACCAACAAAATCAAGTGTTTGATTTTGTGCTTTATTTATCGTCATTGCAAAGTATGGTCTAATTGGAAATTGAGTTCTTTTAAATGGAATTGCATTCTGATTAGTTTTAAGAGGTATAAAAGAAATTCTTGGTAAAAAAACATGCTTTCCACAATATTCGCAACTTGTAATTTTAGCAAGAATTACATTCTTCTCAAAATTTCGACAAGCAATGTGTGTTCCATTACATAACCCTTCAAAAGGATTGATATTTCGTAATAACATCACAAGGCAATTTACTTTGAGCTTCAATTCATGTGGCGGGATACCATTTGAGGTCAAACTATTCAAGAAATCTTCATGTATGCTTTGTTCTGATTTGTCAATTGCTTCATCAAAACTATAATATGTGAAAATTTGACCTAAAATTTGTTCTAGTAAAATTTTGTTAATATGATCAACATATTCATTTATAGACGTAAGAATAACTCGATTTGTCATCTCATGTAAATTATCAGCATATGCTTCTATATTTGAAAAAACATGATTTATTAAATTTTTTAAAGATGTAATTTCATCCTCAAATGGTAGAATAATACTATCTGGAAGCTTAATGCAGTTACAAGTATGTTCTTGCTCCGTTCCATCTCCAATTTTAAGCAACTATTTACAAAACGTGGGATCCAACTTTGCCCTCGTGTTCTTAATCAATTGTAGATGTATATACAAAGGCCATAGATCAAAAAATTAAGCTAGCTTTCATTATATCTTCTTTTTTTCCTTTAGGTACTTCTGGTAGAACTTGTCGAAAATTTCCTCCGAGAACAACGACTTTCCCACCAAAAGACAAATTGCAATCGGTAATATCTCTGAGCATTTTATCTACAACTTCAACACTAAAACGATTTACTATGGGCGCTTCACCCCAAATTATTAATCTAGACATTTTCAACAAAGCTCCTAAAGATGATTGCTTGCTAACAGAGTAGCTAACTTCACCAAATTTTTCCAAAGGAATTTTAAATCTTGAATGAGTTGTTTGACCTCCAGGTAATAGAGATGCAGATATCCCAGAAGATGCGATTGCTAAAGCAATTAAATTTTGATATCTCACACCAGCAAGGAGTGCTTTATATAAAAAAAGTTTTACCTATTCCACCTAGACCATCGACGAAAAAAGCACCACGGCATCATATGTAAATTGTTGTTCAATGTTTAAGCTTGCAGCACAAACGCACCCTCCGTTAATATCCAAATTGGTTGTCTCCTCTCTAACCATTCTTCTCAACCTTTCATTCTCATCTATATTTATATTGAAAGGCACTATTCCATAGTGATTTATATTTTTACCCAACAATTCTAGAATAGAACTAATGTCTTGTAGTGCCCGTAGTTTAGCAACTTCCATAGGTATATGTTCATGTATATAATCGTCAATCATATTAGCTATAAATTTATCCCATAGTAACTTTGGATGATCGGGGTTGCAAAGTGTAAGAAGTGTAGCAAATAGACGTCTTAAAGAAGCTGGCATTTCATAAACAATAGCTTCAGATAAACATTCTTCACAGTGGTTATCTCCGCTTAATAGACCATGTAGAAGTATGGCTTCTCGATATGTTGTAACAGTTAAATCTTGAAACGATGTTGGCCCTCGAATGTGATTAAGAAGAATGCGGAGGAAATATCGTTCTCCTTCAGAAGGATTGGCCATGACAATTCGTCCTATAACAATTTGTTTCTTTCTCGGAGTCCAAATCTTTTTATTTGTGTTCCAAATAAAATGTGTAGGGAAATCTCGATATAACAATGTTCGAGCAAACTCGTTTACTTCATTCACTCGAAAAAATTCTGTTAGCGTTGTTCTTTTCATATTTTCATTGTCAATAACAGTAGATATCATCTTGATCATTGTATGTTACTTGTTGATGATTTTGAATATGAAGCTGTAGAGAATAAACAGTAGGATACGTTTCTGATAAATTAAAAGAAAAATCCTCCACATAGCTTCAGGTAGAGATATCCATCTAGCATATTGATAGGCAGATATTTCATCAATTTCTTTCCCTATATCATTTGTTCGAATTGAGAAATTAATACGATTATGTCCTTTGTACACATATTTGTATAAATATTTTACAGCTTTGATAGAATAACATACTTCAACATTAATGTGACAATCAAATTTTGCACTTAAATAAGGATTTTATGGTACAACCCACCGATTATCCAACATTTGACCTCTAAGTTTAACATAGACACCATTATTACTACGCTTATACAACAGGTATGAGTTAACACCAAATATAGTAGTATTACAATAATCCCTGGGATATTTATTTTTACATTATCTATTGGTCTCCATACATACGTTTTTAGGATTAAGATTCCACAAGGTCCATGCATATTGTGCTTAACAATAACAAAATGAAGATAAGAGTTTCTATTTTTGTCAGGAATTTCACAGCACACTATCCTATCAACCTCTTCAGCACAACAAATTTTTTGCCCAGATTTGAAAATCAACAATAGATGCGCATGAGAGAGACCTCTTTTCTGAAATTCAATTATATGTGTGTGTGTGTGTGTGTGAAATAACACGGCCTAAGATATTTTTCTTGTATAAATCATTTTTTAATTCTTCTAATTTTGCTCGAAATATACGTGCAATCAGTTCCGATCGATTTTGAACTTCATCATTGTATTTTAGTTCTTGTTTAATCTCCAGCCAATTAGGAATACATGTCACAGTCAAAAAAAATGTCAGGTTTTCGAAAACGTTGTACCATATATCTCAACATATCTCTAGGCTCACATGTAAAGGATTATGGTAGAACAAATTTTGTTCCTATTTTGTACTTTCTTGTTTCCCCATTTTCAACACTATCCACAATACCTTGATAAAGTTTAGCACGAATTTGTTTTTGATTATTACGAAAATAGTCTAACCTGGCAATTTCAATCTTAACATATATATCTACGACAAACTATTGAAACAGTCTACCAATGTAAAGCAATAAAGACTTACCAGGAGGTCTAATTTGAAATTTGTACGAATAGTACTCTCGACAAGAGACGTGAGAACGTTTCTTCGCTCGGTTAAGCACTATATCACAAAAAAGGAAAAAAATAGTATATCCGTATACTACCTTTAAATTGCAAAAGGTAAAAATTTTAAAGAAAATAAATACACAAACCTTGATTCTCTTTTTCAATAATTCAGATGCAGAAGTAATTGTGCTAGGAAAAGCGACTAAATCAAACATATGCTAAGGCTGAACGTATTTGCTTCTGGATCTCCCAATGCCTTCATACCAACTAGATTCCCCATATGGAAAAAGTAAGGGATATTGTAAAGGATCATAACAACCGTAGTAGTAATAAACCTTGTGTGAATCACCAAAATGGCCGTAGATAATAATGTCGTGAGCGCGATTATTTGCATTTTTATCATCTTCGATCCATACAGCAACTATTTGAGATGTCGTAGGAGTATTGAAAACTTTTTGATCAAGTCCTGAGTTGTATCTTATCAATATTCGATGGTCATACAAATTAGTCATGTCACATAAAGACCTAAAGAATCTACTGTATGGATTTATTTTCAAGATTTTAATTAAACTAATTGAAGTAGATTCAACAAAGTTCTTTGAAATTTTCATATGATTTTCAACTTCATTATCTGTGTCGTAAAAATACAGCTGCATATAACAAGGTGTATTATTCTCCGGCATAAGTTTATTTACATAATGATATATTTGACCATGAACCCTAAATGTGTAAATACCTCTGTACAATTTAAATAGTTATTTATCGTACTTTACACCAAAAGAAGTGAACGCAAAATAATTATTATATTCCCTGGCAATTTTTTTGAATTCCAAACATGTAGGTTCTTTAGAGGTAAACAAGTTGTATAATTCAGTTGGTGAATCGGACATGCACAGTTTAACTTTTCCATCAGAACAACAGAAACCTTTTCTTTCCCTATAAAATTTTTTTGCACCACAATATTTATAATAAATGCATGTCGGTAATACATGTGCAACACCTAGTACATTCAATAAGTTAAAACTTCCCTGTAATTCAGGATTAGAAATATTGGGCGTTTCGTTGTTCGAAGAAGAAGCCTCAGAATGATGATGCGTTGTAGATTCATGCATATGGAAAAAATGGAAATTATTATTTTTAGATAACATAGACACAGTTATCCTTCTGTGATGATCAATGGACCCAACTCGAGCTTGATTTCACCGATCTCTTCGTCTTTGATTTTGTTGTTGGCGAATAAATGCATTTTGTGACTCAATTGTACTTTCGGAGATATTTTCAGTGTTAAGCAAACGAGGCTTTTCATGAGCACACATTTCCAAGATATCCATTAGAAATATAAGATGACCTATCGAATACTTGAAGCTCAAAGTAAGCAACAACAACTACAAAAAGAATTTAAGAGAACCATTAGCACAGATGCTTGGTCAAACGCACACCAAATATAAACTTTGCCATTGAACAATTGGTACACAAAAAATGAAAGATATGTTCAAATCTCCACAGTATGTAAATAATGTTACAACTAACAAAATACAAAGGCATCTTATAAAATATACAGCCTAGATATATGAGAACTCCACCAAAAACCAATTACTTGGAAAAATAATTCATCAAAATTACAATTATCAGAAAATCTTACTCTTAAACCAAAAGTAAAGTAAAA